TTTTTYYTYYTTTTTTTTTTTTCTTTTCTATTCCCCAATAGTGGTGGAGTACGGTAGGTAAAATGCACAAACTAAAGAGTAGTAAACTCCATGTGACTGCAATTAAAAAAAAAATAGAAATAAAAAAAAAGAAACACTTCTTCACTATGGAAGTGGTTGAGCACTGAACAGGTTGCCTGGAGGTTGTGGTATCTCCATCCTGGGAGATGCTCAAAGCCAAAGTGGGACGTGGTCTTGGGCAAACAGCTCTAGGTGACCTTGCCTTGAATAAGGTGGGTTGGAGCAGATGATCTGCAGGGCCCCTTCCAGCCCCAGCTGCTCTGTGAATGTGTGTGTAGCAGCTCTCATCTGTTACTCTGAAACACTCAACCAAATTCGTCTTTTTCTTTCAGCTTTGAAATTATAAAAAGCTTTAGCTGGCAGCAGTGATTGCAGCTCTCAACATTAACTATTAATTAAAAAGCATTAAAAAGTTATTTTATAAAACATGAGGCATTAAAAAAAAAAAAAAAAAGAGAAGGCTCACAGATGTTGGTGCCAAATTTGACAAGATGAAATAACACTCTGAGATTTTTCCCTTCACTAAAACAAAGAAGTCATATGATCTAAATTCTGATACTCCTGAATTATGTAGCACTTTAAGCAAATTAGGTATTAAGGACATAAACCTGGCACCCCTGGGGTGAGTTAAAAAAAAGTCTGTCTTCTCTGGCACCAACATGTTGTCTAAGCTATTTTGCCACAGATTTCTATCTTTTCTTTCTTCTGTGAATAGTGTTCATAGAATTCTAAAATCAGCAAAATAGAAAATAAGGACTTTTTTCCCCTAATGAAATTCCAAAAAGTCTCAAAAAATGATAAGAGCATGGTGTATGCATGCGGAATATGTTTCCATTGTATCATAATCTCATTTTCAAGTTGATTGGCACCATATGGTCACTACAGTACGTTTTAGTCTGGGATTATGGTATTAGTAGTGCAAGCATCATTATGCATTCATTCAGAAATAAAAAGAAGCTTATTCTAAAACCTAATCTCTTTTAACGAATTCTATGGTCTTTTTATAAGCCATTTTATAGGCAGAATCTCAGAAAAAGCACTTTAATGCTATAAAATATTTTTTATTAATTATTTCTTGAGTTGATAAATATCCATCACATTCATTTTTATGCTATTTAAATTGAGTTTGATAAGAACTATTCAATTTATTTATTTGGATTTTTTTTAGTTATTTGGAAGTATTACTGTTTCTTTTTGAGAATCTCATCSAACTTGATTATGAAATTCTCTAAAATGCATTTTATAACTTCAGAGACAGGAATTACCTTTTTATCTGCAAGGAATCATCTCCCTTTTCCAATCCTAGAGCCAAACAATCATTTATATATATCCTAAGTTCCTGTAAGAGCCTGTTATCAATGAAAACTCCCCCTTGTGCACCCAATAGCTTTTTGGTGCTTTTTGGTGTTCAATTGAATAGCCATTTTTTGCACAAAACTGTAAAACTACAGTGTATTATATAAATAGCTGTAACTGAAATATGAAACTTCAGTGAAGTTTATCTGAATGAATTACTGTAATTGGACTATAAACACAAGCACCTTATTATTCTCTGCAAAGAAATATTATGTACAGATAAGTATGTTCTGYGTTTTGTTCTTGTTGCAAGATCGTGAAATAAAAGAGTTGCTTAACTTATAGCTACAGAGAATAAAAACTACCTAAATATATATGAATGTTTACTGCAAAAATGACTTACRCAGTTAGGTGTTACAACTTAAAGTATGGTCCTGTCTCCCAAGTATGCCGCTAAACTTTCATATTTCGTGGCATGTCCAAGCCTTTATTTTTTCCTAAATATAGGTTATCCACAGTAGAAATAGAAGAACGAGCACGAAGTCTGGGTCTCTTTGAGATTTTGAAAAACAACCCTGAAGCCTTACACGAGCACCTGCTGAAGTATGTTTTCCCAAGTATTGAAGGCAGAGATCACCAGCGATTGCTCTATTATTTTACACTCCTGGAGAACTGTGGTTGTACAGAATTTGTGAAACATTCTCTAAAACCCGAAACTCACATCAGGCTCCTGAAAAAATTCAAAGCAGTTGCACCAGGTAGGAGAGTTGCTATTTTATTACTGTTGTGCCCTTGCAACTGTTTTCAGTTATCAACATTCTTCAGTTATGTCTTGACATGCTTATATTTTCCTTACTTACMCTTGCCAGATAATTATTTTTTTGTTATACATACACGGCAAATGCCAGTAATTCAATAAGTTAGTCATGTTTTATAGGAATGAGTCCTTTTTCTCATTATTTCTGGAAATATAGATTAATCAGCAAGCAAAAGAGAATACTCTAAAACAATAATTGTGGTGGTGATGCAGGTTAAAATCTTTTACAGTGACATCTAATGAATCCTTAAAGATAAACCCACAAATGTCTGAGAGCATAATTTTTAAAAGAGCAAGTTATGCGTTAGCTATCATAACTATTTTCAGTATTTTAGTTTTCAGAAGTCTTAATTCCGTAATATATCACACTACYCCATGCAGTGTTTGATCACATGGTCTGCTGGAAAGTACTCTGAAACTTCAAACATCGTTTWCAGTTTGCTTGTTGCTGTTACGTAGTTGTAGTATCTTGGCTTTCAGCTGATGGAGTGTTCAGTCRGTTTCAGAACAAGATTAGGAAAAATCTGTGTGGAAAAAACTCGTAATGGCATGAATTAGTTGTTCAGTACAGAAGCCTGATGTGTGTTSAGATACTAACTTTGCTTAGTACAGAATTTAGAAAAGGTGTGCATATGAAAGTACATATTGGAGTAGAAAAAAGCAGTCAGTTTCTTGGAAATGGCCATTTTTTTGGAAACCTGACATGCTTCAGTGCAAAGGCTTCCAGGTTCCACTGAAATATTTTGAATACATAGATTCTCTATGGTGTATGGTACTTACTGAAGCAAGGTCCGGGTTCTGTCAAATTAAATATGCAGAATGAAAGTATAATCTTGACCTAATATTGCCCATGCATAAAATAAGAGCAGATTTTCATTTCTATGGCTCTTCATATCTGTAGATCCTCAGAGTGCTGGTAATATGCTCATTTGTGTTTTCAGACATTAAAGGTCTGTGGTGATTGCTAAAGGAAGAAAAACTATCTAGAAACTACGTTTTTTTTTTTTTTTTGTTTGTTTGGCATCAAAGATGCTTTTAAATATTCCTCGGTAACAGAGCCCTAAACACTGTACTGTCAAGAAATACATCTGTTGTATGTTATTCCTCTAATTAATCCTCCTTTAAAGTACAGGATGATTTATAGGTGCTGGGCTATGGCTATGACCTTAAGTATTTGAATAAAGATATTTGGCAATAGATGTAAATTGGCTTACATAAGACAGTGCTGTTGCTAGAAGTGTTATGCTGAAGTCTCAGAAGTATGTTGTTTTGCAAAGGGTAAGTACGGTTGCTTTTGGTCAATAAGCAGGCATTTCAGATTTCATATTTGCTTATATAAGGTGCTTTTTGTATTGAATTGACTAGTTTTCCAGAGTTTTCTCTTCTTAGAAAGCTAAATTGCATGACTGTTTTATCCTATTGATAGGACATGCAGTTTCGTTTATGTAATTGTCTCTTATTGACCTTACTTAATTTGCTTGTGATTAGTATTTTTATAAGTTCCAGTTGTTGTGTGATTGCAATACAAGCTTTTAATTAATGAAGACTTAGCTGATGAGGTGAGTGTGTGCACAAGATTTTTAAGATTTATATTAAAAATCTATAGCATGTATATGTATATATTCATATCCTTTTGGAAATCTGCTTCTTTGGCTGTATGTTAATAGTTAAAAGTAAAACACATGCCATATCTTGAGAGATTTCATGTGCATCAGGACAGCATAAAATTCCTCTRTTATTCACATGTGCAATCCTGTCTTTTTCCAGTCTATCATTGTGCATCACCCTAAAAAAAAAAAGTGGAATGAGTCTTTATATTTCTCCATAAAATAGTCAGTACTAAAACAAAATCTGCAGAAATAAAAAGAGACTAGGAATATATTCAACCATTAATTTTATTTTATTTGCTTTTTTGTTCTTCTGTCCATAGGTCTCAATTACAAAAAGTTAACAGATGAAAATGAGAACCCTCTGGGAATACTGGAGCCCATCCTTACAAGTCAAAATATTTTATCTATTTCTAAACTGGCCCCCAAAATTCCTAACAAAGATGGCAGCATGCTGTCAGCAAGCTCTATTTATGCTGTTTGGTTACCAAAACTTTTCTGGAATGGGGATCACCATCTCCTTAAAAAAATACCTGAAACCACAGCTGAGTGGCTACATGCATATGATGTGTGTTCAAAGTACTTGGATAGACTTGATCCAGGTGATATCACCAATTTCTTGGATGAAATCACTTTTTCTTCAAAGGCTGTCACAAAGGTAAGCAGATACAATTGAAGAGTTTCGAGCTTCAAGTAAAGTACTGCTGACTGTATTGCCAAAAAGAAATTTTCTGTATTTTTTTCCATGTTTTGGATTTTGGGGGGAAGGAGAAGAATGGTAGATTTGTGAATAAGTTAGTCTGCAACCTACCTTCCTCTGTCTACTATTTCTTTCTCTGACCTTTATTGTAGAAGATAATTTTATTCATTTTCAATAGTAAGCTAGAGGAGCTAGTCTGTGAATGAGAAATTTTTATGGAACCTTGAAATCTATTTTCTTGGTCAGCAGAGAGTAAGATATTATTTAATTAGTTTACTTGTGCTGATCCTAAAAATTGCAGTGTTCTGTTTGTTACCAGACCTCGGCATCCTAAATAGGATGTTCCACCAAGAAAAGTTCATATATTGGTCTCTCAGGTCATTTAAACCTACTGGCAATTTCTGTGTCTGTTTGGAAAGACCCCTAGGCCGAGCTCTTAGTTGTTAACCTGATCCTGGATTGAAGCAATCAGGGATGAATGTGCTCAAATGGGCAAGAAATCCTGGCTTTAGGGGCGTCCAAGGGGAATRGCCGCTTGAAACTTATCCTGTTTATGTACCTTGGGCATTGCTAGTCATCACTTACTCCCGATGACTTGATGGTTACAGAGGATGTGTGGTCTCYACTGCCTCTTGTTGTGAAGTTTGTCCGATTTACTGCTGCTTAGGATGCTAATACTGCTTCTTGAGTCTTTTACTCCTAATTAGTTGGAGCARAGAGCAGGAGCTACTGTTGGCAATGGTGTTCGGTTCGCGTCCAAGGAGAACTTTGCCGTGGAAATCTGCCAGCTTTCTAGCAAAACCCAGAGGCATAAAGCAAAGTCTTCAAGTGTTTGAAGTAGTTGAGTCCAATCAGCTGATTTAATGTACATTCTGCACTGGATTTGGGAATGAAACATCTGTTTGGCCAGCTTCTCTTGCCTTAGAATCCAGTGAATAACAGGAATGGGTATAAAATGAAAACATACTGTTATAGTTCCTGAAGACTTCTGTTTCTCAGAGATCTCTTTCCTCCAGTTTTGATCTACAAAATTTTATTGTTTTCAATCAGTGCCAGTCATATGATCACCTCCTGCACTGCTCTTTTCTCTCCAGTTCTCTCTYGCATCGCTTTGCTCCCATCATAGTTCTAAGGCCAAAGGTGGTGTGTTATCAGTTTCACATTCCTATAACAGATATACTAGTCTGTAATTCTGTATTGTTATTCACTATAAAGAGAGGACTGCATGATGACCACTGTGAAGCTCTTTTTGGTCAGAGTGGGTAAAAGGCAAATCAAGGAAAGTCTGAAGTAAGGACAGGTCATGGGGAAGCCGACTAAGTAGGTGGAATGGGCCCTCTTCACTACCCCCCCTCTACTCGTTATTATCTCTTATTTATGTCTAATGTCACAATTATTATATTAAGAAGCACTGATTGAAAAACATATCAAGATGGGGAAAGAAGTGAAAGTCGCCTGTAGGTCTGATTTATTGCAGAATCTTTCTTTCAGTCGTGTATAGAAATAGGCTGTATTTCTGTGTTGTGTGAAGATGCTGGACCTGCTATTTCATCTTTGTTCCTTCTGCACTGCTGGTAAATCAACATCCGAGAGGAAAGCAGTAGCAGCAAAAATTGGAGGATAATTAACTTTGAGCAGAGAAGATTTGTCAGGCTGCTTCTTAAAACTTACTGTTTTTTTGAGCTGCAGTGTATCTTGGAGGAAATACTCTTTAATTCTGGGCAACTGAAGTGTGACTTGTTAGTCCAGTGTAGTCATTGATTGTTCTAGYGGCTAATTTTTCCCCATTTAATTTTTAAAATGCCTTTTTGTTGATGTGAATTTAGTTGGAAGTTACAGCTGCTGGACCTTTCGTCTGCTGTACTCGAGGTAGCTATCAAAGTTTGATTTCAAAAAGAATTAGCAGAAACCGCTTATTTTGGTAAACTGAATGAGCTCACTTTTTAATGGCTTTTTCTGGGGTTCTTTTGTCCTTTTTATTTTATTATTATTTTTCCTCCTCCTCCCTTCCAGTTCTTAAATTATTTTCCTAACTCTTTGATTATCAGCCTCTATCTTTCTTTGCCTGTGTCTCTGTTTTCTCCAGTGTTCCATTTGTGTCTGTATTAAACAAAACAGGTGGCAAGTTCTTTCTTCCCCTCACACACTGAAAAACTGCATTGAGCCTTTGAACACCMCAGCTTACTACAAGTAAACAGAGGGTTTTGGTTGTGATATCTCTCCTCAGAAGTGCTCTTAATTCTGAATTGTTCTTTGCATTTTTCTAGTGAAATAAATGATATCCCTGCTGAGTGGAAAGCAAAGGCTTCTTGATTATGTGAAAAGTAGAGATTTCTCCCATTTGGGGTATTCTAATCAGTCAATAGAGTGACTGCTATTGTTTATGCTTGTATTTTTGAGTCCATCATGTTTTATTCTGGCAGCTGTATTTACTTTAAGTGAAGCTTATTTCATAAAGCTCTAATGATAGTGATGATCGTATCAACATTTTTGATCTTTATGATGCTTTCGTGTTTGTTCTCCTTTGAGACCCACATGGCGTATTTGAGGTAATTTGTTTTTTTCTCACTCTTTTGTTGGTAGCCCTGCTTTGTTGGTTGTGCTAGGTTGCCTGTTATGTCTTCAAAGAACCATCTGTTGCATCAGACCTCATAGGCCAATTACCACTGTCTTTATTGATAAATTTTAGATAAAAGAGGAGGAAAAGAGAAAGAGAGGGGAAAAAAAGYGCAAGAGAAATGGCACAGTCATTTAAAACAAACAACAAAACCAACAAATTTAAAATAATTACTCTTTATTTCACTACATTTTCATTATGGCGGACACATTACAAATAAGGATGGGCACAATATGTTAATTAGCAAGGGAAGATAACAGCTGCAAGGGTAGACTAAAAAGCAGGGCTTCTAATTAGGTAGGTATTCTGTGGAGGAAGGAATGCTCCTTTAAGAATTTCAGGCTATTCTTCATAGCCTTTCCTAGTCTTGCCGGCATCCATTCAAACTCTGGCTGATGCTTTACGTTTAATTTACAAATGCATCCCTTCCTTTGCTTCCAAATTTTGGTGCAGAAGATGAATTCTGCGTTCAGCTTAATGTTTTTGATTGAAATGTTGACTTCTGTTGCYTCTGAGATGGTAATGTCTCTTTTGACCATTTTCTTCTTGCTTGAGTTGGGATACAGCRTCAGCTTCTTGGCCACACATGACGTGAGTGTTAGGAGAAATAGTCTTACAAATCTGGATACAAATTTGTATCTTTCTCTTTCAGCTTTTGTATCCTTTTTAATAATTGTGTAAAAAGCTGCTTAAAAGGAGCTATTCAGAAGGAGCTCCAAGTAATTTTCAGGATTTTTTCTCTGTCGCATTAACTTCTTGACCCCATCCTAAATGCCAAGTATAAGGACAGTGCATGACATTGCCTGAACATATACAAGAATTTGCATATTCTTATAAAATACAACCAGGCTGAAATACTTTTGAATTACTCGTTTTGTTACTTGGGTACTTAAGTTCATTCAGTTTGTCTCAGTTCTCCATGGGTATGGAAGGCACCTCTTTTAGAGCAGAGCACTTTGGGGCATTTGCTTACCTTTCCAATAGCATGTTAATTTAATTAAAAAAAAAAATTGTTTCAAGAATTCATTATAGAATACTTCACTAATGCTTTTCATTTAATCAATATGACGATGTCAGGGTCTTTATTTTCAAGTGAATAAATATTGCTTGTACAAAGCTGTATTAATGCTTATATCTTCTGRAGAAAAGAAATTTCATTGCGGATACAGATTTAAAAGTCTCTCTAAACTGCAAAATTCTTCTTAAAAAGAAAACTTCACTCTTGCACAGGCAAGGAAAGTGAACTAGCCCCTGAAGCTAAAGCTGTTAGTTATTACTGAGTATAATGCCAAATTTCATTATTGAAGCTGCCTGGAAGCATGGAGGAGAMTCGTTCATGGGGGTTTTTTGGAATGAAATAATCAGAAAATATCAGATTTCTTGGTAGAGCTTCATTTCATCACTGCAGAAATATGAACACAAAAATAAAAGTAGCATTGGAAAGTATCTGTATTTTTTTAATGCTTTAGTTTGTGTATGCTTTTGACACTGTGGCTTCTAAAAATGCAGTGTATTCACACATTTCTCTAGGATAGAACAGTTAAATGGAATATTTCTATTATTTGCTTTTCCATCCCTTCAAATTGCTTTTTGAGCATTGGAATGTACACTGGAACGAAAAAGAAATGAAATATGTGACTGCTTTCATTTTTTATGTTATTACATTTACAAAATCCATCTGTGGTCATCATAAGTTCTTGTAATGTCAAGATTGCACCTTTTCTTTGCTTAGTAAAACCTGATACTGAAATTTTGTTCTCAAGTAGCAAAATCCTGTTTAATTGCTTTTGGTAAGAATGGAACTCAATTGATTTTGGAATGGAATAGTAAAATATTCTTCCAATTTACTCTGTAAACAGTGACAGTATTTCATAGTTCTTGCAATAATTCTCCCTCTCCCATTTGTTTTCTCCATTGACAATGTCAATGACAGTGATCCAAAGATCATTACTGTGGTTCAGAGCAACAGTGTACCATTTTCATTCATTTATATTCTTTTCAGAAAAAAAAAGTGCTGCAAATGCTATAAAACTTTTTATTAACTATTTTTTTCTCAAGTTTCTGTCACATTATGGATAGGTAGTCTGATTCATGATGTAAATATCAATTTGACTTTCATATAAATTATGCTGTTGTAGTTCTTCTTTGGTAATTGTCAGTATATTGTAATCATACTTAAGGTAAAATTTTAAAATAACGAATCATACGTGAGTTTTTAAAGTCATCGTACTTTGTTTTGGACTGCTAGTTGATGTAATGTCTTTCCTCACTTACCAGTAAGTTACCAGTAGCCAGTTGGCTACAAATACTGTCTGTATAAAGAGATATATCTATATCCCTATATCCCTTTCCAAACACTCTAAATTGCTTTTCTTTAATACTCTTGCATTTTGGAAGCTTGGAAATAATCTAATTATTGCTTAATRCCATTTGAAGTATTGGTTTCCATTCTTGAGCACAAAAATGGCCCTTCATGCTAGTTGGAGAGTTAAGAGGAAACTTCATTCACAGGATGTAGAATTCTGTATTTGGAAATCCAAACTCTGTGCTAAGCTTAGTGAAAGATCCAGACTCTGTGATAAGCAATGAAAATTATTACAGAAAATAAGTTTTAGGTTTTTGTGATGAGCCAAAATTAAAAGGCAAAAATATGTTTTCAAATTGACGATTTTCAAAATTTTCTCATACAATATTTAATTTTATGCTGTACTGTGGAGCCATGTAAGCTTTAGGCACTGCTATAATACAACTGCTGCCATACAAATGATGGTTAGCAGTGGTTACAATGGTTAACTCTTCCGTCATCTTTTCCAGCTACCAGTTGAAGTTAGGATAGAAGTGACTGAGAAGGCTATTAAAGCAGTGCAACATCTTTCTGAAAAATCAAGAAAAAAAAATCCTGAAAATGATGTGGAAGCTGTGGAAAATGTATCTGTTGCCTATGGAGAAAGTCTGAATCACTTACATCAATCTCTTGCTCATCTGCAAACACTCGGTCATAGTTTTATCACTTACTTGAAAAATAGTGAACAGGTAATGATAAATTACACTCACATATTTAAGTATTTTGCAACAGTATCCTGGGTGTGCCTTTCCCTTGGAAACTTCAGTTCCAGGTTTCTCCTGGTTTTTTAGAGATTTAATTTGATGAAATTCATGAAGCTTTCACTGTTATTAACATATTCAAAATTTTTATTGTTACCACTGAAAATTCTGTCCAAAAAGATCCATTAATTTGACTGTCGTTTGACAGGTTGCTCCAAAAAAAGATTAACTGAAAGCTTTTATCTAGAATGCATAGGAGTTTTTAGAGTCCATAGTGATGTACAATAAAAATAAATGTACAAAAAAAAAGTAAATGAATCTGAGTAATTTAATGGCAAGTTTTGTTGAACTGTGTTCATGTTACCTTCAGCAATCACAGAAGAATAGAAATTAATTCATTGAATAGCTACTAGTTTTGAATGAAGGAYGTATTGTTTTGTCCTTTTGTTTTTAAAAAGTGGGACCAAGTTAACAGTTTTAAGGAATTAAAATAGTATTAAATGGATTAAAATATTAAATAAAGCCTCCTTTAATGTTATTAAAGCCTCCAATTCTGTGCAATTTAGCAAGATATTCTGCAAAACACCCCCAGATAGAACTTTGCTAGACAGAGAGTAGTGTTTGTGTGACTAACTTTCAGATTATAAAGCACACTTTTTACCAATTATAACAATTTTTACAAAAACCTGATTACTAATCACATGCCTATTTTGAATGTTACGATAAGTAGTTACCATAAGAAATTAAGCTTTTATCATATTTTATTGATGATTTATAGCTTTATTTTGTTGGCCTAGATTTTGAAATTCACATCCATCAGTCTTTCCCAGCTTCATAGTAACACGTTGAGTGGTGTGGGGGGATTAAAGGCACTCAGGAATGTTTAGCTCTAAATGAAGGATGTGCTGACTTGTATTCCAAACCTGCCTATCCACAGGATGCACTACAGAAGTATGGCTATTTGTATGATTTGTCAAGGTCGGAGAAGGAAAAAATCCATGACCAAGCACTAGCTATGTGTATAGACGGGCAGCCTCTGGACATGATACAACAGTTGTTACAAGTGGCTGTTGGGGACTTAGGCCTTTCTCCCAAGGATATTGTCCAATGTGCTATTAAAGAAATTTTATGTGCATTAAGGTAAGTATGCCATAATTAGGTTCAAGAACCTTTCTTTGTGTTTATAGTAGGTACTTCTCTATTTTTAATCTTTAGATTCTGTAAAAAGCTAGGAATGATTTAAAAAAAAAAGAAAAAAAAAAAAAAGAGTTCTTAGATTGTTTGTGCTCCCATAATTTCATACTCAGAGATGACTGTTCAGCTTTCTCAGTTGGGGAATTGTTTGTGATCTGAACAAAAGAAGACCCAGAAGTGCTCAGTGCAGTTTTGGGATGTGATTGCTCCGTGTGTGCGCACGCTGTTGTGGGTTTGGGGAATGTTTACACGTAATTGCATTTAATTCTTCTTAAACAGAGGGTCAAAAGATATGGCTGTTGGGAAGAAGTAGTGGGTAGGAAAAGAGATTGTGTAATATTTTGGTCAATAGATGTCTAGTAACAGCAAATCCTGCAGGAAGAAGTGCAACTTGCCCCTTTGAAATAATATTCTGCAGTGTGGTGGTGATGTATTTGTTTTCATTTATTGGCAAGGTTTTCAAAAGTAAGCTTTTCTGGCAAGTACTGTGTGTTTTAAGTTGTTTTAAGTTACCATGATGTTTGWTCTCATGAAGAGAGTTTCTGAGGGTGTTTTTCCCTTTCTTCACTATCCCTTTGTGCCACCCGTTCTCTTTCCAAATTAAAGTGCAAGTGCTGCCTGCTTCCCATAGCACATGAGAGATAAATGAGATCTTAAAAATTGGAGAGAGAGAAAAAAAAAAAAAAAAAAAAAAAGACTTTTTGGAGAGAAGCAGCTTACTGTGATGGAGTCTGTTTGCTGAACTCTGTGTTACTGTTTCTTAGTAGTTTTTTTAGTGGTTTCAGTACCATCATACTAGGAGCATTCCCACATACTGTCCAAGACCAAGAGCTCATTTCCATCTTTCAGGATTCACAGATCCAAAACCTCAGCATCTGTCTTTCCCTTGGCATTACAAAGACCAAATATCAGCTTGTTCACACAGCCCTAGTGAACTGAGTCATGTGCTATAGTTAAAATTAGGGAGAAATAGGCTAGGAGAAAAGAATTCAAAGTAACCAGATTCAGGCAATTTATATTTACTTATCCCTGAATAATTCTATTGAGGCCTTGGCAAGGCGTGGGCGACGCAAAGCAGCATGAACAACAGCTAATGCTGAGCATCTTAAAATCGCATTGACAGTTAAAAAGAGCTGAGTTTAGACTCTGTCAGGTCAATTGTGTTAACTCCAATACAGTGCTCTTTGAATTGAATTGATTGTATTCCTTATAGGATTGCGTAGGAATTTAAATTTTTACACTTGGCAGAAGCAGTCTAAAACCACAGTAATCACGGTGAATTTCTTCAGCAGTGTCAGCTTGCACTGAAATCTATGTTGGCTTCTCTGATTACAGGCAGCATGTATATTCCTTGACTTTTGCACCAGAAGGGACATGGCTTTGATTCACAAATTCGATGGTGAAAATGTTTTAGTGTGTCTCGTATTTGGGAGAATATAATGATAACTGGGAATATAGACTCATTAAAAATAGATAAATAGATTTATGGGCACAACTGAGAGAAAAACAAGCGTACTGTTTGATAAGCCTTTCTGTGAGATCAGTTTCTCTTCCTTCATTGTGCTAAATGATCRTTTATAGTCCAGCCTGCCACTCAGAATAACTCTCGTTTGGGTCTGATAAGAGATTTGACAGGGTTTTTTAGCTGTAATTACAAGATTCCTTTGGCACATAGGTGTGAATTTTAGCATGTCCTTTCAGTTCCGCATTTTTCTTGCCCTTTATATAACACAGTGAAGAAACCGAAGATATTTGTGAGGATAATGATATGATGAGGGGAGGGAGTTGGGTTGGGAGTTCAAGTCATTATTCTTGAGGCTGGTGTATGTTGATAGTGGTGTRCTGGAATTGAAGGAATCTATGAAGATGCTGCTTTTCTTAAACTTAGGATTTGTAAAAGTCCCTGGACATTTGCAGTCGGGTAGCTTGTCCTTCTTGCTACCAAGGGATTAGCTGCGTGTCCCGATCTCTTCCTCAGTGCGATGGAACGAGGGTGGCCGAGTCGCGCTGCCCCCGTGACGGCCGCGTGGCTGGAGCRCGCGTCCAGGCCGCGCGGTTGCCATGGCTGCACTAAAGCTGTGAGAGGTTGAGGGCAAGCAGAAAACGAAGCTCTAGGATTTTACATCCCCACATCCCCCTTAATAGTTTTGTTCCCAGGAGGAAGACTCCAAGGTTTTTTTTGCCATCATCGTTGACAGATCATCAATGAGCTGTTAAGAATCCAGTTGTCTGTGGTGTTCTTTCTCCTTCAGAGCAGCATAAAAATGTTCACTTTTGCTTTTCTTTCTGCTGTCAGATGAAATTAATTCAGCTGAAATTAATTCAGTGGAGATTTTTTTTTGACCTGAGGCAACTCCTTTAGATTTGATGGTGTAGTGCTACCTGTTGCCTTTTCCTGGCCTGTGATGCACTGAATATCCCAAACAAGGCACCAGCAGTCTGTGATGAGTAGAAATGTTTTGAGTTTTTTGTTTCCTTCTTTTTGGAAGGGAGAAAGGCCAGAGGATAGGGATGGACTCTTTGATGTGATTGAGAAATGAACAGGTATTTCTCTTAATTCTAAACTTTTCTGAAGTACTTCTCTCTGAAGGGGTAAGAACAACCAGTAAAACTGTTCCACTGTTACATAGCTGTTAGATTCTGTCTCACTTTTAAGACCAGTTTAAAAACACAGAACTCTTCAGTATTTATCTGGTTCTTCTGCATGATGTTGTTACTATAATGATGTGAGCACACAAACCAGAAGTACAGAAATAATAGTAGAATGCAGCTGTCCACACGTGTAACTGTGCTTCAGCATTTATGGGGATATTGCAACAGAGTGAAGAGAAGAAGACATTTCAGAATATTCACAGCCTTCTCTGCAAACTGATTATTCCAATCAACTCAGCTCAGCAATGTTCATGGAGTCTCAGTGATAGTAGAGCTTTTTCATAGGAACACGTCTGACATTGTCTTTTTGGCAGAGTTTGTCCACCTGGAGAACAATAATTTGGCTTTAAATGATCGTTACGATGCTGTTCACAACTGGACTACAGCAGTGCAGTATATGTGGACATGAAGCTTATACGATCCAGTTATTTCAACCACACTGAATCACACAGGATTATGACGTATCAAACTCCTCATTTTCACCCTCCTCCTTATCCCATTTTTCTATGACTTGAATTATTAGGCTTTTTTATACGTGTCTCAAGGCTAGGCAYTGGAAAGTTCATTTAAGGCTCTCAGGAAGACCATTCTCAGTAACTCCTGTGCAGCACTTCACTGAAAGAAGGGAAAACATATCCCTTCAGTGGATGTATTGGGAGGGACAAAAACAGAATTAGTTAGAAGCTTCTCATGTACTCAGAAATTCCTCACTTTTCGTTTGATATGTGATGTGCATTCCTCTGACTGGGGTTTATGCTTATAAATTTGTAATAACTTGTTATGTACCAATGCAAGCTGATGTAAAACAAACGCTCATTTACTTCCCTGTTTGGAAGAGGATGAGAGGCGAGTCATAGAGTTGATAAAATTCACATGTGCTGTTTAAAGAATGTGTAATAGAGTAGTAAATAAAATTAAAAAAAAAAAAAAAGGAATAGTAAAGAACATGAATCCAGCATAAAATAGAATAGAAAATACTAGATATAATATTCTTCCTACTTTGAAATTCAGTAAAGGATCAATATGATAAAGTAACTTCACTTTTCACACATACAGAAAAAGTGTTTGGAAAAAAGAAATGATTGTTGCTTGGCATCACTTAAGCCTCCTGGCATTGATATCATCAGTATGAATGAAATTTATGTAAATTAGTGTAAAGTGAAATTTGTAAAGTAGTTGGTTTTTCAGTGGGTGTGTTCGTGGGGGGTTTAGTGAAGATGCTATAACCCCAAATGAAACAGGCCTGTGTGAATGTGAAGTTTGTTTCAGTGTCAACTGATACCAATAGAATTCCATTCTCTCTTCAGTAGAAAATTGGAATTATATTAAAAAAAAAGATATTTGTTAACATTAGTAACCTGATTAGAGTTACACAAGTTTCATTTTATCTTAAGTTCACCTACCTGATTATACTGGACACTTTCCGCAATGTGTGAAATTACTTTAAGCAACAGTCATGGATGATAAAGGAGAATTTAGACCATGCGTGAGGGTTTCCTACATAGAAATCAAGGTAGTCAGAAAAGACAGTTTTATCTATTCAAGATACTTCTACTTATCTGTTAAGAACAAGGACCTAAGGTACTATGGTCTTTGTTTACAGCTCCTACATTTCTTATCTTATGTAAATAAATTCAGGTGAATATATTGTTTCTGGCGGTGAGCAAGAAAGGTTTGGTGAAAATTTTAATTCCTGTTTAATGGCCTCTATTTAAATAGAGAAGGAGGTAAAGCCAGTTGCACTAGATACTGAGGTACCTAACTTTTAAAGAAAATTAAAACCCCAGGATTTTCACTGATGGACAATATGAATTTTCCCCAGTGTGGTATGATAGTAAAAACACTATAAGATTTTTCTATTTCCCAATATTCAGAGGAAATGCAAGCAAGTACTGTGTCCAGTTCTGGGCTCCCCAGTACAAGAGGGATGTGGAGCTGCTGGAGAGAGTCCAGCRCAGGGCTACGAGGATGATCAGGGGCCTGGAACATCTGCCCTATGAGCAAAGGCTGAGAGAGCTGGGCCTGTTCAGCCTGGAGAAGAGRAGGCTGAGGGGGGACCTGATCAGYGTSTATAAATACCTCGAGGCAGTGAGGAGGAGGGGGCCGGCCTCTTTTCAGTGGTGGCCAGCGATAGGACTAGAGGAAACGGCCGTAAGYGGAGGCACCAAAAGTTCCACAGGAACTTGAGAAAACACATCTTGACAGTGAGGGTGTCAGAGCCCTGGAACAGGCTGCACAGAGAGGKTGTGGAGTCTCCTTCTATGGAGATCTTCCAGATCTGCTGGATGCAGCCCTGTGCCACGTGCTCTAGGTGACCCTGCKWGAGCAGGGGGGTTGGACTCGATGACYTCTGAGGTSCCTTCCAGCCTTAAGCATTCTATGATTCTGTGATTCGAAGAGGAAAATAAGGCTGGAGAAATAAGAGGCTATCGAGTATTTTCAGCGAATAGTATAATTAGGTTAAAAGACTTGGATGTGTTTAACTTATTCTTCCTTCAAGTGTTCTTTGTAGTTTATKGTATTTGGGGAACATCTTGATTAAATATGCATCACCTTTTCTGAAGCTCAAGTGAAATCAAAATAAGCTTTTGCCAGTGTAGTTACACCATGCTCATGCTTAGGAGTTTAGAGGTGACCACTGGATGCTATTCTCCTGTTTTTAACATGCATAAAACAACATTTAATCTGTGTGAAAGAATTCTTCATTCGTTTCTTTCTGTTAGTAGCTGTTTATTTTTCATCATTAATTATTAAGAAAAGAGCAAGGCAACAGTCTTTATGGTAAGCTAATGCAAGAGAATTTGATGCCTAAACTGTAATTTTTCTTTAGTTTGTCTAACCATTCTTAGGCAGTGTAGGCAGTGTCAGGGTTTTTTAAAAAAGATAGCTTTCAACTGTACATTAATTTCAGGAAAGTGTTATTTCATTTCAATTAATAGATTTCATTTCTAGTTTATATTAAAATATATTCTTGTTCTGTGATAATTAGTGTACCCTTTAGATTCACTTTTTTTTGGTTGTATTTTTTTTCCCCCAGGTTGTTGATAGAATGATACTTGTATGTCTGTAGCACCTCCCATATGACAAAGGTTCCTGTAAAAGTTGAAACAATTCACTGCAGTCCAGAGGTGGCTTCATAGATGGATTACCTGAAAATAAAGTGTTTTCCGTTTTTTCAGGAATTACCATTAACCTTTGGATGCATATTCCTCTGAGATGAGGTTTTTTGAGATGCCCAAAGCCTCACTGTTATAGCAGCTTATGGCTTACATTTCTTAATTAAAGATTCTAAACACTTTCAAAAGCAAATCTTAGCATTACTCGGAATCATTGGCAAACCTGAAGAAACCAAAAATATAAGATTTGATGGTCATTTACTTTGATAATTAGAATGTCATTATGTACAAGAAAAATAGAGCTGACAGGTTCTACCTTTCGGTGACCCATGTCCTATACCCTTACTACAGCCTTATTGCTTTCCATTTCAGTCATCATCCTTATTCTTCTAGTTCTCTTGCACAATACAGTGTAGACATCTTTAATTGATGACTTTTTATGAGAAACTTATTTGGCAAAAAACAAACAAAAAAGCCTAATAATGCTGGAAAAATAAAATTGTCCTATTAACAACCTTTTATCAGAGTAGTTTATATTTACCTTTGCTCGAAGAACCTTTCTAAAGTTTCCTTAGCTTTTCCGCAGTTTYTATCTTTAACAAATTTGAAATCATTTTTCTTTTAGTGTAAATTTTAAAATATTATTTATTTATTTTTATTGTGGCAGATCTTGCCTTTCATTACTTGACATACAAGCAGAATAGGAAATTTTCTGTGTTATTACAGAACATTGTTGTCATACTGCATTTGATTTCCTGTGCAAAATACATATTTTTCTGAGACTGAGATGTTCGACCTTACTAAATTATTCAGGTCTTGCATTAGTATAAAAAATATTTGTCTGATATATGGGACACCAGAATAATTCTTTTCTTCCTCTCCCCTTTCCCCTTCCCCTTTTTGTGTGCATGATACTTTTTATTTTTCCTCTTTATGTGTGAAGATAGAGTAAGATCTTTGGGATAGAAATTATCACTAGGGAGTCTGAATAATTCTGAAGCATAAATAATAATTTGATTTTTTTTCCCAAGATGAAACTTATTTAGCTGTCATAGGATAGTATCTACAGTGTCATTTCTATGATAACTATATGTGTGCATCAGTGTATTTTTGAGTAGTGCACAAATCAGAAGTACAGATAGATGGGATGTTAGTTCCCTACCTATGAGTGAACTATAGTAACCCAAAATAAAGATAGTTAAGTAAAACTCTCCAATAAATTGCCTTGCATCAGTTTGAATGGAATCATACGTTGATTTTAAATCCGGTGCTTCAGACTGGCCTTCTAAGCACATACTAGTAAGTGTCCCATGCAGGAGGAACTAAAGGCTGTAGAAACACAGGTCTGGATGAAAATGACTCATAAGTCATTTTGAAGGTAAAATAAATGATTATCTTAAGTAGCAAATGATGAAATTCTTTAATTTTTTTACCTCCTAACTTTTAACAGAGGTTAAAAAATAACTGCAGTAATTTTTACACATTGTCATCTGCTCCATGGTGCCTTTGGGACTCTCTCTTTCATTCTGCTCTTAGTGCAGCATTAAGAGGTGTATTGGTTATGCCCTGGGATACACCTAACGGTTGATTTTCTAGCTCCGTCCAGGCATCCTTGCCTTTAAAAGGGTTTCCACAAAGAGATGCTGTGGATGTTATTGGAATGTGGGGAGGAGATTCCTTCCTCCAGAACATGGTCACATCTCTGATTTGCTTTCCTGAGAATTGCAGCAGAGAACATCACTTTTGTTGTGTTAGTGGGGGAGCTTTCGTTCTACCAGAGTTGTTCTTTTTTCCCTCTGTGTTTACTACCTTATTGACCTGCAAAGGAATATTAATGTACACCCAGAATGTCAGATCGGCAGTGCCCATGATGGACAGTGTCCATATTCTTCTACACATGCGTGGCGGGTGCCACTTCATGGCTGGCTGAAATGTCCACTTTCCCACAAGCAATTTGTGACCCTGTGTCCCCTCCTTTCCCCTTTTGTTCTGCTAAGCATGAACCTGGCCGAGCCAAAGGAAGATTAATCCCAGAGGGAAAAAGAAGATACTAGCCCAGTGGGGTGGAACTCTTGATATCAGATCAGATTTGCTTGGACCAGTAATGGTGCTGCAAGAAAACTCGTGGGCAGGAGGGACCTTCTAATGAGGGATCAGTGGTTACTGAATTTTGTCTCTCTCGTTAACAGTGGAGATGGCAATTCTTCTACCTCAGTGAAAGATCCTCTTGGAGTCCTAGAAGGCATCGTGTCTGCAGTGCACGCGAGTGTTGAAAAAGGGTAAGAACTTTTTATATGGATTCTTTGGTTAAGGCTTTGAAAAATACACCGTAAGAAAGTGTGGAAGGAACAGTGCCTAATGTGGATGACTTACTTGTGGATKCATCTAATGGGTTTGCATTCTAAGATTTTATTCTGAAACAGGCTATTGTTTGTAATATTTAAAATCTGAGACACTTTTTTTGATGAGCCAAGTCACTGAACCTAAAACTAAATCAGCCATATATTATGGTAATTTGAGGAAAGAGTATTTCAGCTCTGACTACTGCAGATTGAATAATTACCAGAAGTAGAGTTCTTCACTGGTTTTCATTCAATTCATTAGATAAACAATAAATAATAATGATATAAATATCTAATTTTATCAATATTTGTAAAGTTTTGTTTGCAGAAATTTCAACAGATGCTTCTGCCCCCTCACCCCCTTCCTTTTTTGTGTCCTTATTTCAGCTTGTAGAATGATCAGGCTAAGTGGCTCAGGAATTTTTTCCCATAGCATTTCTAGGAAAGAAAAGGKGTAAAACCAAAATGCAGTCTTAGTTTTTCTGCTAGATGTACAAATTAAGAACTGGTAGCCAGAAAAAGTATTTGCCTTGTGTGGAGATGCCTACGCTTCATTAAATTATGTTATTGCAGTAATATCAAGCTATTGGATACTGAACTTGCCTGATTAGATATCATAATTTACACTATATCTGACTCGTAATATTTCACTGTAAATAGAAATGTAAGTGCTCTTTTATTCAGACATACACTTTCTCAAATCTTTTATATATTATTAACATTAAAATCTTAATGCAGTAAGTTGGAGTGAGGACTACAAGAATTTATTTAGATTCATTAAACATTTACTCTTATTTACCTGTTTAARCTCCAACTGTTCTGCTTATGAACCACAAATCTTCCCCTCAAGGAAACTTATATTAACATTAGGTGTGAGCTCTGCAAAGTCTGGAAACATGGCAGAAGACCATCTTTAATGCTCATACTTTTAATTTATAGTTTCAATGCCACCAGTCATTTCTAATTTAGCTCAAGTTCTGAGCTGAACAACATTATTCAAACAATAAAAAGTCTAAATAAAATTGTAATTGGGGCCAGCTGAAAATCTAAACTGTCGATATTTATTATTTCAGAGCTGCAATACAGGTTAAATTGGTGTTTTCTAACTGGTAATACCTTCCCATCTGTCTCCTTAAGATAAATAGGGGAGTATTAACTATAAATCACATGCTACCTGGAGCCACTTTTATTCTTCTTTTTTTTTTTTTTTTTTTTTTTTAAAGCAGGGGGAGTTTTAGTTTGAAATACTACCAAAGGATAGCAGAATGCTATTTACTGGTTTATTACATGTTCATTTAGAGACAGGAAGGGATAAAATAAAATGTTCTGTCTGACACTGCTAGCAGGCTGGCTGTATTTGTGCAAATATTTGTACTGTAAATGTTTTCACACAGGTTATATTTAGTCTAATATACTTCTTTCAGTACTCTCATGTAGTTTTCTATTCTAATTAGTGAATTAACATGAAACATCTCTTTCTCCTGCCTAGGTAGTATGGGCATTCTGTAATTATTAGCATAGTAGAGCAGGCAGTCATTAAATTGGCTATTGTTAGTACAGAAAAAAATGAGAAATGGCTAGAGTTATAGAGAGGAAAACCTATAGTGAAAGTASAGAAGGTAACATACAGAAACATTACTTTGTTTACTGCAAGTGATACAGCTCCCTTATAATAAAGGTATTTCAGCATCACAATAAAGTTTAGTGAGCGAGTATCAGCAAAGGATTAGAGACTGAGCATCTCACCTGGCATCCAGCATTGTGCCATGCAAGGTAGGTTCTGCCAAGGCAAAAGAAAGATGTTGGCTTTCTTTTGACAGGCATATAGGTTTACCTGATAAGGGCTGTAGTCTTAAAGTCTTAMGTTTAAATGCGCAAGAAAGTGTAATGTCACGTGATGCTTCGATTAAAAGCTTATTTTATATGGATTTAATAGGCTGTATGAAAGATGTATTAAAATCTTTGATTTATTGAAAATCTTTGATTTATGAAAATTTCAAGATGTAATCACTGGATAAAAAGTAATGAGTGAAGCTTTTATTGTTAAAAATAAATACTTAACTGTCTAGATGATATTAATTTTTTTCCTAAAGTGTGAGGAGGCAATAAAAGTGTTGGCATAACAAGTYCCCTTCCAGCCCTTAGTATTCTTGCTTCTTTTGATACATCAAGGGTTGGGTTTTTTTTTAATTTTTTTTATTGTTGTGGATATCTACCTCTCATTTCCTGGCTATATTGTCACGACCTGAGTGGATTCAGAAATAGTCTGATGGAAATAACTATGTCTGGATTACTAAAGACTTCTCAGAATTTCTTACCAACCATGATGCTGTTTATYTGCTGGATTCCTCTATATGATTCTCACCTAATAATTCTCTCAGCATTTTGCATGTTGGTAACGATTATTTTTGTGTTCCAATATTTTGTGCAGCTGAAGTCTTTCGGGAAGGTATTTAAATGATAGTTAATAATAAATGGCTCATAGAGGTTAGATTTGATGTTTTCTTCTGACTCTATTGGTATTTTAAATAGATTTTTATTCAAAATGTATTAAGTTGCATTTTAATTTAAATAACTAAACATACATGTCCATAAAGATTAAGTTCCTTATCGTAATGTTACATTTTAGTAATTTTTATACACTTCGTGAGTTTCTCATGGTAAAGAAACATTTCAAGCTTCTCTTCTAAAAATACGCACAATCCCTGAACAACAATAATAAAAGATTGTAGGCATTTTTAACCTACAGCAATTGCCATGCTAGTCAGCAAGATATAAAGCCTCTGTTACAGCCTTGTGCTCTTGTATTACAAAATTCCAACAAAAAGCAGATCTGAAGTCTTATATGCCAGAATGTATGTAATTATTCATAGTACATTAAACAGATGAATTGCATTTTGCAAAGCAAAGAAGCCCAAGAGTCTACAGAGAGTGATGCTTTCTCTGGTGTCCCCTCATAAGTGGAATTTCACAACATTTTGTGAAATTAATTTAGTGGAAAGCATGTACATGCTTCYTTTAAACCCTGTTAGATAGAACAAAATATACTAAATTTGATTCCAGAGTTAAACATTGTGGAATCTTTGAACCTGCCCAGAAGGCCATGCCCTAACCAAGTCTTATTATATCTAGTTATTAAAAATACATATTTTAAAGATACTTCAGGAAAAAAAAATCATTTTATTATGATAGTTTGCCCATTCAAGTAATTAGATTTTTTTTTTGTTTATTTTAGAATTTGGACTGGTATTAGAAAATAAATTTGACTTTTGCCAAACTGTATTATGTTCCAGAAGAGAACTGTTCAGATTGCTACCTGAAACATATAAGCATATTTATGTTATGTTCCTTGATGGAAGAAAAATAATTTAAACTTGGTAACTATTAGTAAAATTATTCATAAGAAAAAAAAATCTTAGAAAATTAAAGTGATGATTTCAAACCTACAATAGCTGAAGACTGTGCTATGTAYATTTGTCCTTTTGATGCTTTCAAGGAATAACTCTTTTTTTCACTGAAGTGTGTGTATTGTACAGTTGTTACTATGTTTATATGGCTGTGATCAAGTCTAAAATGGCCAAGGTGGTAGGAGTGTTTATCAAAATGTACCACAACAGAATCTGTGCTCTGCTGGAGTAGTGCGTTGTGGTGCTGGTCACTGGCAGGCGTGCAGGCCTCACGCCGCTGCAGGAGCCTGCTCAGCTTCAGCTCCATGTGTTTCTGTAAAGACAACTTTTAAATTGTGAAGTATTGAAGGCTTAATAGTAAACCCCCTCATGATGGGGGGGAAAAAAAACTTCTTGGAGATGTGTGAAACAGTGTTAACACTTGCTTTCAAGCATGAAGATAGTGGTGGAACCTTTCAGTAGGTTGATTCAGTCAGGTTGATTGAATTTTGCAGATGCTGAAGTGAAATCATTGACTGTAGAGGTAAAAATATATTTAGTTTTGATCAAGTACTTGATTTTTTTTCAATTTGACTACAGAGCATTTATTTGATGAAGACCATCTTAAAGCTAATACAAAGCACTAAGGTTTCAAGATAAAGTTCCATTTTGCTTTTCCTACATGTGCTGATGTTATTTCTTATTTTGTACTTTAGAACAGTCTTTGCCAGCTACTGAGACCTGTAATTTTAGTATTTTAATTAAGTGTTTTTCCCCCACAGTATAGTTTTTTGACTYCTTTATGTTTTTGAGTTTTAGCTCCTTTATGCATTGAATGACCAAAATATATAAAAATATATGTACTATGAAGTATAGAAAAGATCATAGAAAAGATCTTTTAACTTTCCAATCTCACTATTTTCTGAAAGTCACGTAAGGCAAGAGTATGATTTGGGGAAATGGCAGTTGTGTGTGGTGATGTTTCTTTTTTTTGTTGTTTTGTTTTGTTTGTTTTATCCAATATAAGTCAACTTTATAGTTGTGAATTAGAAGGATAAATTATTTAAAATATCGTAGATTGCTTGAYTGACTTTACCTAGATGGATCTTGCAGAGATTGGTTTCTAAAACCTCTACTGAAATAATAGCAAAGATGGGCTGTAATAAACTTCAACTGAGGTTTTGAATCATTTGGATGTTTTCTTTTTTGATTCATGTAAAAACATTGTATTTAAAAAAGACAGCTGTTGATGAAGATTTTAAAAGTTGATATGGTTTGTTACATGACCATTGCCAAATGGACAGAAATGCAAGGAATGGTGTTTTATCTACTTTATACAACAGTTTTGATGGATCCCYGTTTTGAATACGTTCACCTGTGTTTCGGTTCTACATACCAAGAAAAAAAAGTTACGAGCCTTCTGAGGAAAATTCTTGCACTGAGATTATGAACAACGTGACATGCTGGTTTTGGGTTAATTTTACTGAAGACGGTTAACACTGAATTGTTTAACTTCAATTCCAGAGAGAAAGTAGTATCCTCAGAAGACCTGCTGGAGTGGCTGAGACCTTTCTGTGGTGACGACTCCTTACCAGTGAAGCCTCGCATCAAAGTGCTCCAAATCATGGAGCAAGCCTTCCACCTCCGTGACGAGGACAGCAAGCTTCTTGTCTTCTTCAGAACGCAGGCCGTCCTCAGAGCTTGCTGGCCCGAAAGAAAGGTATTGGAATGAACAGCTGTGTATAATCAGAATTATAACTGGGATTTCTGGTCATTCTCTTTTTCCTAAGCCACTTGGCTAAGTGTTACCTCAGAAGTAGACACGGGGAATATAAGGACAGTGTCAAATGCAGAGACCTTCTTGGTGGAATGCATTTGGTCGTAAAGGCAACTGTTGCCTCTCTTTTTAAAGCCAGTACAAATGGTGAATGAAAGATAGTAGGTTCTTAGAACAATTCATGTCTTTAACTGACCAGGTGAGAATTTTAAATCTCTTTTAGTTTAACATCAAATAAGTGAAGTAAAATTATTCCTGAAAGAACTCGCAAGCTATTACTCATTTCCCTGCTAAGAGAGAGAGCTGAAGGATAAAGGCATGCTTAGCTTTCATTTTTATTATAACGTGCATACAAGTTCTAGAACTCAACATTATTTTGAGTGAGGGGGGAAGTAAAACCTAGTTTGTTTGCTACCCCATTTTTGGAAAATACTCTTTTGTTCTTAATCATCACAAACCTTCATATGAATCTGAGTAAAACTGCCATATTGCTTAATGCCTTTTGTTACAACATACAGTGTATGAGAAGTTTCCTTTTTATCCAGATGGCTTTGCTGAGGCTTTGGAGGGTCTATTTGTGTGTTTTTCCACTTATGCATGATAAGTTTTTAGGTGACCAAATTAAATGTTTTTAGCCATTTAACTTGTATGCTTGTTCAAGTGCACTCTTCCTTTTTTTTTTTCTTTAAAAGAAAAAATCACAAAACAGGTTCTTATACCTATTAATACTTTAACTGCTTTATTTTATGACAAATTTTGAACTGTTTAAGTGTTTGAGAGTATGTATTTTAGGGCTTCTGCATTTAGTCTTCTAGATACAATGAACATATCCTAAATGCTTAACAGGAAGGAACATTCTTGTAACACCACTGCTGTCTTTGAAGATTGTGTTCTTTGGAAATTGTTCACAAGTTTCACTTGTTTTATGTGAATTTATTGAGAAGCAGAATTAATTCTCATCTGTTTTCTCAATACCACTTCCGTCCATTTTCTATCCCCTCCATGAAAATACCAAATGTTCATGAAACTGAAGCATGCTACAATACTACACAAAAAATATTTTATATTCATGTAAAACAAAAGCAATATCTCAATTTTGACTCACTGACCTAAGGTCATTCAAGATAATAATCTTTAAAAGAAAATGCTTATGTCTTCCCTCCTTTAAGATTACTTTTTCCTTTGCACACATAATATAGGCACTTAACTACTCAGTCACTTTTGAGTGTGTGTGTCTGAGATGATTCTTGATCTTCATTTTTTTGCTGTTAGTCCATAGTATCCTTGGATAATATTTCTGCTCCCTGCAATCATGATTTCCAATCCAAAAGCACTTCAATTCTAAAGTACTGAACTACTGAACTGAAAAATGTAGAAAATTAGATGAAGATAACAGCTTTAAGCATTGTCTGTAGAGGAAAGAGGAAACTGTTATTTTAAAAAACTTTGCAAGTCTCATTAAACTTGCTTAAGAATTTTAGAAGATAGGGTGACTTTTATTAGTCAAATTGTATAAAATTTCACAACATTAAGCTAACAACTCTTGGCTTTTTTCATGGTATTTGAGGATCTAATTAAATCTCCTCCATGCCAATAATACATTAATATGTCCTTCCCATAATAATGCTACACTGTGGTTAAATAATATTGTACTTGAAGTGTCTTTGTTCTGTCAAAAGTTTCATAAAGAGGTTTTAAAATTTGATAAATGCATAGTTTTTCAGTGCTTCTGATTCAGCCCCAAATTACAATAGTTGCTTTAGTGTAAAGTCACTGATCTCAGTCAGATTGTGCTTCTTGAACAGATAAATATTGGGAGTGCTGTAGCTGCGTGGAATAGCTAAGGCCAGAGGGATTCATGGAAGGCTGAACCTCTGGTAATTTTGGTAGTCCTATGCTGCACTCTCTCCCATTTTCCAGTCTCTCTCTTGATCTGAGGGAGACCAAAACTGGACACAGTGTTCCAGGTGCAGCCTGACAGGAGTGTTACAGTTGTGTCACCTTTGTCGTTGTGCTGTTGCTGTGCAGCCTAGGAGATTTGCCTTGACTCAGGTTCACTGTGTGTCACCCAGGACCTAAGAGCTTTCTCAGCAGAGCTGCTTCCAAGGCAGTCAGATCTCAGCCTGTCCTGTCCTACTGCTTGGCTTCACTCCATCGTGGGAGCAACGGACTTTACATTTACCTCTATATAAACTCAGGCCATTCTTGCTGGCCTAATCTTTCAGCCTACTAAAGCTATGTGGCTAAGAAACACAAATGCTGTACTTAATAAGCTCAAATCTTTCAAAGTTGATCATTATATGTTATAGAATTGCCTGTATATTTATATAGAAGTTCTCTGAATATAGTATTTATTGTTTAGGGAAGTTCCGAAACAATTTTCATACTTAGCAAAAGTGAAAGCTGTCCTTATAATTATTCCTGCTACAGAGTGCAATTATAAGAATCCTGCTGGAACTCAATTAAGATAAATGTGGTAGGTGTTTCTGTTTCTGGTGGATACCTTGTGCTGGATAATGAAGTTGTGATTTAGACTGAGAAGTCGCGTTGTTCAGTCTGTGAGGTACCAGTAACTGACAGTGGGAATTCTTCTCTGATGTCCAAGAAAACAAATGAATGATCCACGTTTAGACAATTTCCTTTTGTTTCTCTCYATTAGTCAGCTGGTGTCAAGCTGTAGTCCAGGAGCTGTTGTTATGAAAAGGAAATGATAACCTATATGGCAAATAAGTTTGCTTATTTTGTCAATTAGCAAACAGGAGAGATGGTGTTGCAAGACAGTGTGTCTGCAGGCTGTGTTCTCACTATCTTTGCTAGGTAAAGACACTTAAAGATATTTTTGCATTTCATAATCCTTCATGGTGTAGTACTAAAATAATTATCATGTGGAACTCAGTAAAGGATTTGTGGTAGGGAGGTGTTGGCAAAGCATTAATTACCAAGTTTCTCTCATCCATGTTAATGCTTTCAGCGGAAGGATGTTAAAAAAGGCATCCCTATTCTACAGAAGGCAAAGTTGAAGAACAATTTGAGAATCCTGCCAGGTTGTTGGGGAATCCTAGATAAACCAGGACCAAAAATAAAAATTAGGAGTTACTTCTTTGAGATATGCACTAGGTATATGCTAACTTTCAGACTTCTGTGACAGTCTGGTCTATAAGTATTTCCCTRACTCACTGCACCTTTCTGAACTTGGTCATCCTTTTTGTTACCAGCAAAATAGTAAACTCCTTGAGCTCTCACTCTAGGATCTTATTCTACTCTTAGCTAATGGAGGAAGGTATGTGAGGCTTGTTTAAATAAAGTTTCATTTATAAGTATTTCCCAAGTATGTTCATTTGACTACATCCAAATCGTTTTACTTTGTTGACATATTTTTCAGACTTTTAGAAGGCTCACTCCTTTCCCTTGCCGTTTCTTAGTACAAAAAGGGAGATCAGGTATCGTAAAGGACGAATATGGTTCCTATTGAGTAAAGATAAGTTTAATGATATTGCAGTGTTCAATTACCAGAAAATGTGTGAAAGCCACCCTCAGTGTCACTAGTAATCCTCTTAGTCAGGCTTTGCATACATCAAAGAGGGACTTAATATTTAATTATGCTCTAGGTGGTGTAAGTAGTGGTCCCACAAATCAATGTGCTGCTGGGAAACAGGCCAGCTCTTACAAAATTAAAAATGTACTTTATGGAAGCAGCTACCTATCAAACAGTCAGAAACACAGCAATTTCCAGTTCTCTAATGATTAACTAACAAAATTAAAAATTCAGAGGTCCTTATTTTTCAAAGACTTGAGAGTCCTTAATTCACATTCCAGTAGCATCTCAGAGCTACTGGAGGGAGGAGGCACGTGCTGTTTTAATCCTCTTGATGAATTTTATCTRAGCTCTTCAGGTTCTCTAATTTTCTAGTTAACTGGTGCATGAAAAATATGGGTCAAAATGCTGACATTTTCTTTAAATAAAAAAAAAAAAACCACACATTTTTGGGGGGGTAAGGAAAGATGTCCTTTAGAATACTCATGTCTTGACTTATGGCTTTGACTGTCTATGATAGGAAATCCATTTGTGCAATACAGAAAACCAGTGTCTTTAATGACTGGCAGTATGACAGACATAATTAAAAATGTCTGCTTACAGATTATGTGTGAACATGCTCGTTCAGTTCTGTCAGTGACCACTTACATGGCACAGATTTAAGCAACAAGAGTTAAAGAGTTTTGTCCCAGGAAGTTACAGGGCAATTAGCAAAGGGTTAGAAGGTAAAGCAAGTTTAATTTATGAAAAGCGTTTCACAGCCATGAAGCTTCTCTAGACCACACCTCTTCATAAAAGGATTGTTTCATTATTATGCAAATGACAAATGTAATTACTGTTTGTATGCCACTTAAATGCAAATAGCCGTGTCATTTAGAGAAGGTAATCTCATTTAGCCTTCCCCTCATATTGTTAAATTATGCTTTTTTCATTATCTTGGGGGAATAGAGAGCTGCTGAATGTTGAGCATTTTTGAAAATGAGGAGGGATATCTAAAATGAATTTGGAAGTGTAACTTTAAGCCCCATCATCTGCTTTGTTTAAAATTTAGCTTTGAGAATTTGCCAGGTGAATTTGTGTGATGTTTCTCACCCCAAATCCATTTCAAGGTTTAAATTGTGAGAGTAGACTTACCCTGTATACAACTTCTGTGCAATTTTAGTAATGCCTACATTAACGTAATGGCTTCATGAGAATTTGTGCATGGCTACCAAGTCTCCRTTGCTCTTTTCCTTGCTCTTCCCTTGGTATATGAAAAACATACATCTTTTTATGCAGTATTTCAGGGCATCATAAAGAAGACTTCCAGTGAAGAGAATAGTTCACTGTCCTGTGAGTTTGAGTCCAGTTACCTGGGGTTGTGTCTGTTAGGTTTGAACGTAAGTATTTGGGGAGTGGAGTGATTAAG